CATCTGGTGGTCACTCAGAGAATGAGATTAAGAAGATGATCAAGGAAGCTGAGTTGTATGCCCAGAAGGTCAAACAAAGAAAAGCACTGATTGATATAAAAAACAATGCAGACACCACTATTTATGCTTGAACGAGTACAGGGATAAGATTCCTAATGAAATTGTAAAAGAAAATGAGTATACTATTACGGAATTCAGAAAGACAATGGAAGGAGAGAATGTTGATGAGATTAAGGCCAAGATTGATGCAGCGAATAAAGTGAGAAACACATGGCTGGCGTTTCTGGTGGTGGCCAAGGAAGCTCTTCCAGAGTTGCTCAAAGTGGTGACCAGGCCCAAGAGGCAGAATATGAGGAGGTGAAAAAGTGAGTGATGAGGAAGTGATTCTCTTAGTTGGTATCTTTTCTTTTCCTGAATGGCATTAAACGCCACTAAAGATGATCCTTTTGTTAGATGCATATGGTGTTTACCAGTTTTGTTTCTAAAACGAAAAAGGTTGAATGTATTAGCCTGTTAGGAATTTGAGTTCAGAGACCTTTCAACTTGAGATAACTCAAAATTTTCTAAAAGTGAAAAAATAACGAGATCCCTTTGATTTACTATTGCTTCTGCATACTTATTAGTGTAATATTTGACTGCATATATAATACATAGTATGTAATACTTTGCAACAATTAAAGAGATAATATAACGAATGCTTCGGTTTCTATGACAAGCTGGGGGTTGGTTCAGGTTTCTATAAACTTGTCGAGGGAAAATGATAACTGCGACAATTTCAAGCCTCTGCCTTTCTTAAGCTTACAGTAGCTCTGTTTCAAACTCTCTGTTCTTCCATTACTGGAAATTTACTTGCATGAACATTTCATCATGTGTTTATTGTTTCTTATAGTAAAGATTAGATAGCTCTGTTTCAAACTCGTGTTCTTTCATTGCTTTTCGTTTCCAGAGGCAAGCCCCAGGTCTTATCAGTTTACTCTTAACTTAGTTTGGGCATTTGTCAATCAACATACTACAGAAGGCGGTGGGCAACTTAGACAAAGTATATGGTGAATTCTTCAGAAGAAGATACTCAAAATAAAGAAGTTGCCATAGCATGAAGCTATGCAATTATCTAAACTGGTGAGAAACTTAGAGTTGCCCTCTAACCATTCAAGTTGAAGGAATACGCTAGTTCCCCATCCAAGAAGAAGCCGTCAGCCTCTTCAAACCGACACAAAATGTTTAATTGTTTCAATTGCTCAAGATTCAATCGAAGATCATTGATGGGAGAAGAGAAACTTTTAAGATGTTGTATTTGCAGAGAGTTGTTGATATCTTGTGGGCTGCGATGATGGTGTGTTTTGACAAGAAAAATTAAGTTACACCTGAAATCCGTGTTTCTGAAAGAAACATTTCGCAGACATCCAAGGATTGGTCACAAACTCCTAGGCTTGCTTTTCGAAAAATGTGAAACCAGGGCTTCACAAACTCCTATGAATTATGGTGAGACCAGGGAGACAGAATCGCAGCGAAGAGAATCTTGATATGCCATTTCCGGAGTCTGAGTCATCTAATAAAGGAATTGGTGAAAAAAGGCAGCAAAGCAGCCAAGGTGTGCTTAAATTTTGTCAATGGATCTTCCAGATGACATCTGGGCTTGAATTATCCATGTATTTTATTCAATGCTTGGGACAAGAACAAGTCCATGGTTGTGAATCCCAAGTTGGTGACCATTGTCAGGCTCTCTGTCTTCAATTAATATTCTACTTACGTATACTTGGTTCAAACATGGAAAAGTAATTTCTTTAAGAAATAGTGATTAATAACCAATGTTTGTATATTTAATATGTTGTTAATATATAAATGTTATATATTGTCGGTGCATCTCAAATTAACAATAATTTTAAAATTTAAATATTTACTTATGTTAAAATTTTTTAAAATTTTTAATTTTATTTGTTAAAGAAGTGACAATTTACAATACATGAATAATTAATGCATCAAATATAATTTTATAAATCCTTTCCCAATTGAAGATAAATTATAAATTTTTTGCTATTTATAATTATTAAGTTTTTTAATTATTTAAATATAAGTTTTTAATTTTTATTCAAACGTTAATTTTATATTTTGTTAAGTTGAAGCTAGAAAGGTAAAATTGGGTTTCCTTATTCTGGTATTAATTGGCAAATTAAAATAGATGGAGGCCCATTTGGCAAATTTCTCATACCAGGGTTGCAAATTCAGAAGGCAAATATGCAACACTGTCAAGAAACTTTCTGCCTTAATCTCAATATAAACGAAAGATAGGGGTACATTGAAAAATACGAGAAATACATAATGTTCCATGTAATATTCCCCACTTCCTTCCTTTTTTTCTCATCTCTAAAAAGGCGCCCACCCTTTTAAACAAAAATAGTTTTATGTATTTATAAGGGTTAATATGTAAAATGCTCCTTGTCCTATAGATCTATTATCATCAGTTTGATATTTAAATAAATAAAATATTTATTTTGATGTTTTAATTTTTATTTTATCAAATATTTTGATATTTTATATTGCTATGATATATATTGTGATATGAATATTTAAAAAAATCATATCATATATCATAAATATTTAATTATCACTATATAAACTATTATTACATAAGTAAAAGATTTTTAAAAAAATAAAAAAATTAAAAATTGATTTCTTTTAAATAAAAAATAAAAAATAATATGATGATAACTAAATATTTATGTTATATATTATGATTTTATTAGATATTAATATCATACAAATGTAATTCGATTAACATTGTTTATTTAAAATATCAAAATATACAATGAAATAAAAGATTGATTATTAAATAAAAAAATTTTCTTTCTATATATAGTAAACGAAAAAAGTATATAATATCTAATTTATTTAACCTTATTTATAATAACCACCCTCTCATTAAACCCTAAAAATTCCCACCAATCTTTGTTGATATAATCCAAAATCCTAAAATGTCCTAATCGACAACTCTCTTTCTCTCTCCTCTCTTACCCTAAAATCTCGGAACCCTAAACCTATACAAGTTCTATTCTTCAGGCTCAATATTTCTTTAGTAAGCAGCTTCAAAAACTGAAAGGTAACACTTTTCTTTATAATTTGTCTATAGATTTGGTATCACTTCTACAAGTAGTTTAGAGTTTTAAATTTCATGCTTTTGTTGTTTAATTTTAATCCGTTTTACTTATAGCATTGTAGTTATAAAGATTATAGCCTTGCTTGTTTTAAATTTCATGCTTTTATGGTTTAATTTTAATCCGTTTTACTTATAGCATTGTTAGTTATAAAGATTATAGCCGTGCTTGTTTTATGTTTTTCTTTTTGTTGGGAAAGTTGATTTGATGCATAGTTATTTATTGCAGACGTTTTTCAGAAATTGGGTTTTTGATAGGCAGCAAGAAAGGAAGCACAACTCTGAAGTGGAAGTGTTAGAGGGTCAAATTGATTTAGCTACAGATAATACGGTTTGGATGCCTTCCTATAAGAAAATTAAGATGGATAACAGAAAATATGCAGAGGTGGAAGATGGGATTGCTGCCCCTTCTTCTGTTCCTAGTTCCATTAAATCAATGGAGGGAAAAAAGAAGAGAAAACAAATAGACAAGGAGAGGCGGCATTTGGTTTTAGATGATAAATCTCACCTAAAACAAATGAATGTTGAATCAAAACGGAATGATGCTGGTAACCTGTGGCATCTTCATCAACTAGTGCTTTGCCTAAGTTCTATATCAGTGTTTTTAAGGACTTGGTTTCGGCGGATTCTCCCATGAGAGAAGCAGCAGTGGAAACAATTGAGACAGAGTTGCAGGAGGTGCAGAAGGCATATGATTGGCTCAAGAATAAGGACTTGGTTGAGGGTGATTTGAAACTGTAAGCCCAAAAGGATGATGGCTTGGATAACTATGCACCTTCTTTGAGATATGCTGTGTGTAGGCTGATACGTGGTGTTTTTTCGTCAAGAGAGGTTTGATATGCTATCT